AATTCGAAACAATCATTACTTGTCACTCAACAAGTAATGTTGAAAGTCGAAAGCCAAGACCACTTTATGGTTATTGAGTTGTAGCAAATCGAATATAGTACCCCATAATAATTAATATTCTAGGGTTATTTGATAGTTTTCCCTAAACGTGTTGAATATATAACAAAGAAATTCCTTTAAAACGATCTATAAGCCATTTTTTTAGTTTCAGAAACAAACACTGCTAAATTCACTTGGTACTACTTGCTATATCTTGCCATCGTTGTTAATGACTGCTAATGATCAGTCTCTTTTAGGCATATGTAACTCGATATTGACTTAAGTCACAAGCATTATAGGCAAAGATGGATGGTGGCGAGCAGTGAAATCTAGGACGTACATCTCGTCCTAATCTCCACATTGCACGAGCAAGTGTCTAACTGGACTTAGTAGGTAAATGAATAACGCGATGACGTTTGAAGCGAACGGTAATGGGTTCAAGTGCCGAAGTGCACATCAACTCTGTAATACAGGCACATCCAGATGACGAGTCCCAAACAGGTCAAAACGCGCGTCTTGTATCCCACTGTTAGTATTGGATTAAACCATGATCCACTAAATTTCGATTGAAATCAATATGCTTACTTCATAAAAAAATTTGTCAACCAAATGATATTTTTATGCTAAAGAAAGTTGGTAGTTTTCCGTTAGATTATACAACAATTTATTATAGGATTTCTAACGTTTTCATATACCTCTAACAAAAAGCACCATTGAAAACATTCATTTTAAATGAAATTTTGAAATTTTGATTACGAGGTTACCTAAAATCGACGAACGGAACGAAGGATCAGCAACACAATGACAAGACAAGCTAAACTATTCTGATACGTCACATCCCTACTAAATAAAGGGAGAAGATCTGGTTCAGATGAGGGAAAGATATATTCCACAAGCAGACAGAAGTATGAACAAAACAAGCAAACAAATCATGCGTATATAAAGAGTAATAAAAGGTTTTCGGGAAATGTCATAAAATAGCGTATTAAAAGAAACAACGAACCAAAGACATTTAGGGCCATTCCAAGTGAGAAATCTAATCTGAAGGTAAAAATGGGTGCTTTTGGCAAAAAACAAACAAACGAGAAATCCCAATTTCCAAAATAAAACTATAAAAATACCACGTTTACCAAGTGATTTCTGGGGATCCATCATCCTAAATAAAAAAGGGAATTCCACTCAACTTACTTTCTAATATATCATTTAACTATATTCATGGCTGACTAGGAAAAATATACAACCGATAAAATTTAATCGTACAGAAATATACATTGAGGAAATAAAACAAATTGTTACACAAAACGGAAGTTCAGTGGGTGTGATTAATTTATAGATACATCATTAGCTAAAATAATCAAAGTAAGAGAAATGAATTACTAATAATTCATTTGTCTAACTAGAATTGTAAAAAAATTTATCTTAAAGCATAATATCCATTAAAGATTGGTGCGATTTCTGAATATCATGAAAATAAAGAGAACACAGAACAGATTCTCTCAATCGTTAGCTTTTACAGCAGATGTAATCCATATTGGCGAACCAGTCATAATCGAAATAGCTGCTTTTATGTTTTTGCATAAGATTTAAAACACGTTTACAGATAGCTTCAACACGCTAACATCAAAACTTATCATCAACATTTATTGAGAGGAAAACTATTTTCTAAGTAATCTCAACTGTTGTGTATACACATGTCGTTGCCGTTCCATGAGAATTAACTGTGTTGTCTCCTGGATCTTACCGCTTATACTTGACAATCAGAAACTACTGCAATTCCATGATCTTAATGGTTACACATGGAAACCGGAACCACGGTAATTATCACTACGCAAGTTTATACTGAATTGACACAGGAAATATTGACCCTAAAACATCACACTGAATGAAGTTCACACCTCTCAATCTGGCCAAAATTCACAATGAATTGATACAGAAATGTTGGCCTAAACAACGTCAACTTTTTATTTTGTCACGTCATAAACTATTTCAACAGACTGCGGAAATATGAAAAAATATTAATTTGATAATACAGATGAAAGACGAAGCTCAGAAAGTCTAAAGAGATACGAGATATTTTGATGATTCTTTGCATTATTTACCAGAAGTATCTGCACTATAAAGATTTTAAACTAATACTGATTGAAAAATTTGAAATCTTTTTTATTGTAACTAAACACTTCTTAGCATTATAGGCAAAGATGGATGGTGCCTAGTAGTGGAAGGCAGCAGGCACATTTCGTCCTTTTTTGAGACTCGTCAGTTGGATGTTCCTGCAACCCATACTTGATGTTCCCTCTGGAACTCGAACCCAATGCCGTTCAGTTTAAACACCATCGCGTGATCTGGACTCAGTAGCTAAGAGATTAACATGATGGTGTCTAGTGCAATCGGTATTGGGTTCGAGTCCTGGAATGAACATCAACTATAGGATGCAGGGACATCCAGCTGACGAATCCCGAAATAGGACAAAAAACGCGTCTTGGATTTCAATGCTAGCCACTATTATCTCCACCCATAATACTTGTGACGTAAGACAATATCGAGATGATCCGCACAAGATGCACATATTCCAATAAGAGATTGATTAAGTGTAGTCCGAAACATCAATGAGAAGATTTCAACAACCAATACAAAAATGAATTATTTAACAATCAGATAGTAACATTGCCTTTTCTCATTACTTATACTTATTCATTATTGTTTTAAAAAATTAGAATATTTTTTTTTGTAACAAAAATGGTAATTTTTATTCATCTGTGAAAAGTTCAATCATAAATATATTCCATTCAACTTTTTAATTAGTAACTATGATGATGTATCTAAATAAACTGTTCATTTTTTTTATTACCTAATTTAATTGTAACCTTATTTTAAGAAATTTATACTTTCATTCATGCATACAAAATATGAATTAGGAAATAAACCTTTAAGATTGTTAAATATACATCAGACAATTTTAGTTATATATACAACTATTATTTAATTGAATAAAACAAAATAGGAACCATATTTATCTACTTCATTAATTCATTTAACTTGGAAGTGTGTATCTAATATGTATAGTCAGTATATACTCGGATTTCATGTTGTTTAATTTAAAAATAAATTAGATAATGAAAAGAAGTTAAAAACGATTAAAAAATATAATTAGTTCACAAGTTTATAGACTATTGATTTAAACTCTAATTGAAATGAAAGAAGAGGATGAAGAAAACATCAAAGAATACTTTTTCTAGTGTTCAAAAAGTAAGATAGTCGTAATTCATTGAGATCATGAACTGACTGATGTTACACCTGGAAGCACTAGACGGCCATCTCGTCCTATTGTGGGATTCCTCAGTAGTTCATGACTTCAATCAAAAACTTAATAATCTCCACAACCCCTATACCGATAATTACCATATGCTCACTAGTGACTAGCTTCGTGGGGAATTCTCGGAGTTCTAGGGAGAAGCCGTGACCAGTAAGGCTAATCCATGCCGGGCAGAGACAAATATCTACCTCAGTACAATGGAAGATGGTCTTGCAATTTCATGGATTGGTTGAGGTTAGACATTAACACCGTTGGATGTTGACTCAGTGGTCCAGTAGGTTAAGTGTTCGCGCGCGAGACTGAAGGCCCTGTGTTCGAATCACGCGATCGAGATCCTGGATACGCACTGCTGAGGAGTCTCACAATAGTACGAAACGGCCGTCCATTGCTTCCAGGTTTTCAATGGTGGTCTAATATCAATCAGTTTATGATCTCAATCAAAAACCTAATAATCTCTACAACCCTATATTGAAAATAATCGTAATTTGAGTTGCAAACAACTAACTGTTGTGTCAAACAACATGAATTCATTCATTTTCATGTCTGAAATTTTCATTCCAGTAGTTATTTGCATAATTTTTATTCTATTGACTCTATTCATTTAATTCTAGACAATTATTCTAATATTTGGTTTTCACTGATCATCGATAACGTCCCTGAAAATTCGGCTGTTCTACAATTAATTTTTTTAAGTTATTTTCTGTAACCGGTATATTGCAGTGAAAAATGTATGCGTCAACAATGGTATCAGCTTCTAGGCCACCAATAAATAAATAGTATTATATTGTCAATAAACTGTCTTAGTAAAATAATGATCGAAAACCAAAAAGCCCTGAGAATCCGTTTTGTCCTAGCTAGGTACTTCCCAGCAGTGCATATCCACAACCCCATCTGAGCTCGAACTTAGAACCACGATTTCCTGTGGAGATCACCTGACATTTAAACCGTTTGGCAAGCATCTAATCTTTTATGTATTTAACTTAATTCAGTCCATGATATTGTGAAACAATCTTTCATAGTCGTCAGTGGGTAATTGTTTCGGACTCGATATGTACAAACGTCACTGATCACGACTTCTCACTACGACTCCTGAAATTATTCCCTGTAAATAATTCACTTATGCGAAAATTTATATTGTTACTATTATTACTATCATAATCACGATTACCATTACTAATACTACTATTATTATTAGTATGCAAGGAGATGGTTGTGCGATATCGTGAATTAATTGGCTAGATAAGTAAACAATTGGATGTCGACTAAGTGATCTAAACTTTTTATGCTCACTACATGACCTAAATATCTTGGGTTCAATCATAGATAAAGTTGTAGAAAAATACAAATGGAGAGTCTTATAAAAATATAAGCCATCTTTACAGTGACTCTAGGTATTCAGTGGTAAAACTAACCTATAATACAAATTGTGTAATTTAACTATCACTATAGACTTCCTATTTAAATAATAAGTAGTATTATTATTACCATAAATCAAATTGTATATCTGCTAGACTTTGGTTTAACTCAAGAATAATTTAGTCAAATTCAAATGAAATGAATATTCTATGAAACTACTAAATGATCATTTGATACTCTTGTATAATAAAATGTAATTGTAATACAAAATTTTACAGTGAAATTTACTTACTTGGCAATTTGTTTAAATATATTAAATGTTTCTTTCAATTGTTGAAGATTAACAATCTTTATTCAAAAAAAGGAAAAGAATATTTAAAAAAACAATCTACATTCAATGTTCACTGTAATAAATTAAGTAATAATGGGGAAAAAAATTAATTATCACTTTTCAGGAATTAGTTCAAACTCTCATTTCTTTTACGAGGAATAAAATTTAGATGGTGGTTTAAGGTAGTGAACAGGAAATTCTGAACTCAAATTCCGTGTTGTTTGACATTTGTTAACAAAGTATATCTGACATCTCAAGGAATTGATGCTCCATGGCAGATATACTCGTCTGTCATTCAGCTTCATAAACAAATATGTTACCATTGAAGCATTTGAGACAATTAAAATATTTTTTAGCTAGAAATATCAACACTAAACTTAAAATGTATTGATTTGTCCCTTTTCCCCCTACACACACAAAATTATATGTTAACCAAACGAAATTAATTATGAGTTAGTTGAAAACTTTGAAATTTCACTAAAAAAAGATAATAAGAAACTTTTTATCACTAATTACTTTTCGTCAATAAAACATAAGTACAACTTGCAAGATCTCAACAATAAAAGTAATACATTAGTAATCAAGGTCTTCATTTTTTTAGTATGAGATTGTGAAGATTATTGAATTCCATTGAAATCATGATTCTACCTTAATGGTCTAGGAGGTAAGTGTTTGACCGCGAGACCAAATGTCTTAGATTTGATTTCCACGCATAGGATGGATGCAAACTGCTGACGAGTCTCATACAAAGAAAAAACGACTATCCAGTGCTTTCATGTTTTTAATAGTGCTCTAAGATCAGTCCATGATTTCAATGAAGTCAAATTATTAGTAAATAGAAGAATTCTATTTTGGTTCAGGTGAGTACAAATTTGTTGAAAATCGAATTCTAACTTGATAAATTTTTTAACAGAGCAGTTGTCAAGAATCGAATATACACCACCTTACGTTGATAACAGTGGGAAATGATATTTTCTGTACAGTTTGAAGATCTGAAATAAATTCATCGCTTTAATTTTGAAAACTCGTGTCCACGCAGCTACTGCATAACGTTATGGAGATAATTAAATAGAATAAGGACTGATTTTAGTTATACAACCATTGCAAACTAGAAAGCTCAGGACAGCTGTTTTATTCCAGTATATAACTTCTCAGCAGTGAACATCAGTCACTGTTTCTCATTAAAACTCCATGAAGTATCACACCAACTTATCTCCTCTTAAGTAAATAATAATAATATTGTTAAAAAGGTCTGATTATCATAGTAGTTGCAGTATTGTAACTTTAAGAATACGTAAATGTTATAATAATCAGTAGCACTCATAGTTTTAACTCATTTACAATATCGACTTCTATTATACTCGATTATAGACCCTGTGAGAATAAATCAGCTTATGGTGTAATGTTACCTTTCATACCCTACAAATTAACACTAAATTTAAATTCTAATACACTCTTTGATCATTTATCAGTCGGTATACGAGAAACGTCCCTGGTCATATCTACTAATAACTAATGTTCAAGCGAATGTTTAAAAACTGCGCTTTATTCCCTTAGATATCATAAGTTTTGTTTAAATATACATGAGTTTATAGACTAGTATACCTAAAGCATCTAAATGTATCATAATAAATATGATAGAGACTAAAGGAACAAAAATGGACAAATAAATAGAACAATGATTCAAACTGATATCATTTGTACAAAGTTTTAAAAATATGAATATGAAAAAATACAAGCTATAAGATAAATAAATACAATATGAAAGTATGAAGAAAAGAGAAAAAAATGAACAAGGTTTTGCACTTTAAATATCATTTGACTGTTAATAATGATTGATTTGAAACTATTACCTAATTTGTTCAATGTCTAATCCCTTTTAACTTCATATGTCATAGGTAATATTTAAGAGTTTCATTGATTTTTATCATTTCCTTTATTTTATTCATCCTTCAAACTTCTTTTAAAATTTAATCAACTCTATGATCTTATAAGTAATTCTTGGTAATAAATTACATTAATCAATAATGTGTGTGAAGCGGTTACAAGTTCAGTTAATCTGAGAACCGAACAAAAACACGGTGAGCAAAGATCAATAAACTAGTTATTTCATGCGTCTCAGCCCCGCTAACTAGAGGAAGAAGTCCAAACTTGAAATGGGGAAGTGAATTCCACAAAAACCAGAATCACGAGCAATGATAACAGACACAAATCAAAACGTATACATATAGCACAAAACCGTCCTTGGGAAGAGTTTCCAAATAGCATATTAAAAGATACAACAGACCAATGGCATTTAGGATTCTCCTAAGTAAGAAATACGACATGAAAGTGAAAAGAGAGCTTTTGGCGCGAAAACAAAGAAATTCAAATTTTCTAAATAAAATTACAAAATTAGGTCCTTTTCTAAGTGTGTTCTAGGGATCTGACATCCCCAGAACATATACATAAGTTGCGTAATTGGATAATATAAAAAAGATTGTGATTATAAATATAAGTAAATATTACAAATCATAAGTAAATTACAATTAATTCAATGTATTTTACCTCTAAATCTTTCACTTCACTATTTATATATTTCATACAGAATTACGTAATTTATTTTTTTGTTTTTCAGTTAAAGAATCATAATTTATTTGTCCACGATTATTCTAAATGGTTATTGATAAAACAAAAAAGCGAAAAATAGTGTCATATCAAAGCATTTATATATATATATGGAAATTAAAAAGTCAACTAGACAAGTTAAAGGTAAGAAATAAAAGAACAGTGAGAAGATGGAGTTGATCTGAAAAATGTAATATATTTGCATAATACATTTCGAAATCAATCTGAGGCGAGACTCTAATTTATGGACGAGCCAATCAGAGGCGTTTTGGAGATTTCAGGGTCAAGGCACCAACTTCAGTGCTTAGTGTTAACGTACGATGGGTTCATAGGGAATTTTGTGCAAAACGTGACAATTGAGTGACTATAACAAATAAAACGGAGGGACTATAATTTGTTGACGAATCAATCAGGTATAAGATAATAGATCTCGGATTTTAACGCGAAAGCCCTTCATTCATTTGGCTGAACAAATTTCTGGCATTATAGCTGATGTCAGTTCGTGATGAAAACCCCATATATAATTCCTAACCAAGGCAAATTACGACATTATTGCGAACTGGATAATAAAAGCAGCAGTAATATTGGCTGCAGCCAGGTACTACAATATATACGGATGTTTGGAGAGCGTACAGACTCCTACATAGGCTTGGATATGTGCATCGTGTCGTTATCCACAAGTAGCATTTTGTGCACTCAACAACCGAAGTACACGTAAACAATATTGAAGCTATATGGTCGAGGCTGAAAGAGTTTTTGAGACTTTATCATGGCTCCAGAGGCCGACTATTCCATAGCCATACGGATGATTTCCTCTACCGTATGGATTACGATTTTAGAACCTCTGAACCTCTTTCTAACCTTGACAAGTTTTTGAACCACGTATAAGAAGTTTATCCACTTTATTTCCTTGGTTTTGTATAATATATTTTTACTCTATACTGACTGTATGCTAATTGGCTAATATTTTTCAAGATCGCTTAAGATTCGTTCAAAGGTCGTCCATAAATTAGAGTCTCGCCAAATCTGATCACACATAATGTACTTGTTGAGACACTTTTATGTGAAAATTAGAAGGTCAACTAGACAGGTTAGAGGCAAGAAATTATTATTATAAATATATTGAATAATAAACAAAATATATGTAATGAACGAGAACTCAAATGGAGACAACCAATTTATTGTTTAATACAAAATTATAGAGTTCATTCGTAAATCTTGAAAACCATTCATTAAATACTTTATTTGTGAATCTTCTATCAATTGTCTTTTTTTACATCTTTCATGATTCTTCCAATTCACAATTCGTTTCTGTTTACTTCAGTACAATCTTCTTAAATTTCTTTTGACAGGTATTCAACTTTTAAATGGTGTTAAATACTACTTATGTTTGTTGACATAGGTAGCATACACCACATATCAATTTATGTCATCAATCATTTACTACTTATGAAGGATATATTAATGACATGCCAGTCAATATTATCATTTTAAAATTGGTAAACTTCAATGAATAGTAATTTTCTTGAAATTTATAATCAATGAATTTGATTGTATCTATAAGGATTTGTATTACTGAGTCTATGGTTTAATCAAGTTGTCATTTTATCATCTTGCCCTTCATTAAACCTTGTATGATTTCTGGCAAAAGGTGTGTTAACTAATGAAGACTTATTTCATATTTACATCTTTTTCTCAGTAGCAAATAAAAAACTTTGAATATAAATTCTTTGTCAACTTTTAAAACTAAATTGGTATGTTAATTAAATTTAATGAATTTTCATTAGATGATTTGGTCGTTCCAAAAAAATAAATATAATAGAATTAATGGTAAATTTCAATCAATCCATGGTCTTGTGCAACCCTTCATCCATTGCCTTAGGTGGGTATCTGTCTCATATCCAACACGGATTGAGATCCATTGGTCAAAGCTGTTCAGCACTTCCAGGTTTTCAACAGTGGTCTAGCTTAGATTGACTCATGATTTCATTTGTGAAAACACTACAATCTCTACAAATCCTCATAATAATCGAATTAATTTAAACCGCTACTGTTATTATTATTACCAGAGAATGGATATGATGTTAATTTAGATAGTCATTTTCTCACTGTAGACGTTTAAGCGTTAAACTCACAAAAATCTTGATATACTTGGTAAACTAAAAGAATAATCACATATTTAAGAAGTATGATTTCATGCATGGGATTGAGATTATTGTTAGTAGTATTAATACTAGTGGTAGTAAGAAATGATTTCAATGATTCATATTTTTCATTATTTTTCATACATTATTAAGGTAAGGTACACGAATTGAGTCATACAGATGCATGTACATACATACACATACACTTATATTACAGTATGGACATTCAGACAAATAGATAGACGGAAAGGTAGAAATATAAACAAATACATGTACTACATGATGACTAGATACCAAAGTAGAATTTGTTTCATTTCTAAAAATCAGAATTGTATATTTTTGGGCCGAAAAATATAAATACAAGTATAAATATATACTACTTCTGATAAACCGATTTACTTCACATATGTAATGAACTGAAGTAGCGATCAAACAAAATCATATTAGGTATTCGAAATTGTCTGATAGACATCAACATAAACCTGGTTAACATGAATTTCATGTCAGTTAGAATTTTCAGTAACCATGAGAAAATAAGTTATTATTTTAAAGATTAAGATTATTTGATGGGGAGATTGCAAAATGGTCATATCAACACTTTGTGTGATCACTATGCATTCATCGATTTCAGTATAGACCGGAAATATTTGACTCAGCATATTTAGTGTAATTCATTCGAAAATTTTTAAAGATTAAAAATATTTAACCGATCATATCTGAATTAAAAACTGAATTTTGAGACTTTATTCTGAAGATAATATTTTGTTTTCTAGCTTAACTAGTGATATAAAGCCACCTAAAACTGTGACTCAGTAATTAAGGCACTCAGTTTTCAGCTATTAGGTTATAGGTTTGAATTTCAGTCTATCAAATTCGGTTTGATCAGCCAGGTAGTGCTATTAGCCAACGCACATATAGTGTGGTTTGAAGTGTATCAATGTATACCTGGTAAGTTAATCTGAAAGACTAAGACATTCATCATCTTAAATAGACAGAACTTTAACTTAAAAACTGAGCTATAAAAGTTCTTGATGATAAAATGCTCAAACATTAATGGGTTAGTCATGATTTTGGCAGATCTCAGTTATGTAAATTTTTATGTATAAAGATGTTATAACTTGTGGCTTGAGTGCCCTGTTAATGTATAAAGTGATGATACCGTTAATTGGAGAACAGTGAATTATACACATAGTATTGGTGCATAAATGAATCACAGAAGTTACCATTCATTTTGCTTATCGGAACATAACAAAAGGCTTAAAAAATGGAATTAAAATTAGTCTATATTATATCTTAGTCGTCAGTGACTTTTCAAGCTTTTTTTTAAAAAAAGTTGGATTTTCAATTTTCAAATCTATCAGGATGAAAAAAACTTGATTTATAGTTTAAAATAGTTTACTAGTAAGTACTTTGTGTGGGAGTTTATATATTTTCATGAATAATTTTCCCAATGCAAAGTAATGTTAGCAACCGAAGAATACGTTTCATATATGACTACGAATATGCAGTTGTCAGAAAGTCAAAAGCTAGAACAAAACAGTTGTTTAGTCCTCATGTGTTTATGAATTGTGTATGATATATAAATTATTTTCATTCAAACTATGCCTAGGTCACTCAATACAAAAAACGTTAGTAAATGGAAATTATATGGTCTCTTATGATTGGCTTTTTAATGATCTGTGTGATAGTTTGGTGCGTATCAAATGAGGAGTTATATGTTAAGACATCGGTAAAACTCATCATGAATCACATGTTATATTACCAAAATAGGATGTATGATCTAATGAATCCTAGTTGATCAGTTCGAAGGTGTCTTGTAAATCATGGGAACATAAAAATCTTTGATCCAGTATCATGTTCATTCGTGTGTTCTTTTAATAACTCTCAAAATAAAGTGGAAAATTATTAAATTTCTCCAATGAGTAATAAATTTCAAGGTTGTGTTACGTCATTACAGATCTCATACTGACGTTGTCCTCAATGTTTCCAATTTCTAATAAGTGTTCTGACTTGCTTCCTCACATCTAATGATTGTGTAATGTATATTAGAGTGTAAATTTCACTAGAACTTTTATTTCGACTTCCAACATTCGCTATATCTGTGATTATCGTCAAAGCGAATTGGCCGGAGTTACACTAATCTGGTCATACCAGATAGTAGTGGATAACTTTAAACCTTCGAATGAAATCTTCAGTAAATGTTACACCGCAATATGCAGCACTCACCCACTAAGTGAAATGTCTCAAAGTGATGGATATAAGAGCTTTATTAAACATTAAAAACGTTAAAGACTTTCTTAGTCCGGAGGTAACTGATTAACTATGTAAATTACTTCGTATAATAATTTAGTAACTTGTTAGGTAATCTCAACAATTTACAATTTGTCAGTACTTTCTAACACTTGCACACCAACATACAAGCAAATTAATATATATGAAATATGCATGATGTATCATCACATTTAGTAGACATTACAATATCAGTATTTTTAATATTTGACATAGCATGAACACGCAATTGTTATAATACATGTTTTAAACACTATCAGATTAATTCTGTATGGTAAAAAGCTTGTAAATTACTTCCTACTTTGAGTTTCATTTTTAATGTATAACATAGATGTTAAATGTATATCTACTTCAACTCTCCTTTATCAGAATGTGCTCTTAACTTTCACTCCTATAGAAAGCAATAATCACAACATGATAAAGTGAATGAACATTGCAAAATTAATGTCATCATTCTTATATAATTTACATTTATTAAGATTATTTAAAATTAAGTTAATCAAAGACAGAGTTGAAAAGAATGCGATTAGAAACCAGAAGAAATATTAAATATTAGTAAAAATCCATGGTTTGATTTTACAGTGGAGTAGTAGTTGCTTTGGATAGCCAAAACATTATCACGTCACAGTATTAAGCCTCACATTACCTGTTTTAATTTACATTATCTGTCTAGGCTGTAATTAATAGCCTACATATACATACACACACAAACTATAGATAAAAGTCGAGTATGTAAGCTTCATTACTGAATTATACGAAGTAATCACTGGTTCGAAAACGTGACTGAGTTCATGTATATAAACTATGAGCAAAAGTATTACCAGATTGTTAAAATGAACTTCATCTGTAAGTTGGTTCGAAGTACCAATTATATAACATGTAATGTTTTTGTTCTGTATTCATCTTTATTAAGCAATCCATGAATAGTTAGCAAAGAATTTATATTATTGGATATGTATATCTAATTATATAAGTAAAAAATTCAGTTCTTACCAATGTATCATACATAAGTAATTCTCGAAGTAGGCTAGCATTGGAGTTTGTAATTTTTTATAATCGCCTATTAACAATTAACGTAAAAGAAAAATATACATTGTTTAGTCACCGAAAAATATTTTATAATGATAGTTTACAAAACCAACTGATTCTAGTTAGATGATCATTCGATCATATCAAATGTGAGGCAGTTATCTATCGGTAACATTAGAGAATAGATGCACAACCACTGAATACTACCTCAATAGTTCAAGGGTTAAATATTTTTCAGTGAGATCTGACGGTTCTAGATTTGATTCTCGTTGTAGTCATATAAATTTATCACTGAAGTGTCCCACACTAGTACGAAACATCTACCAAGTCCTTCATTGTTTACAACAGTTATTTAACTAAGGTCAATCAGTCATGAACACTATGAAATTCAACAATCTTCACAAACTCACTACAGCTAAAATTTAATCATTACATGTTTTTTTTATTTTCATTTATTCTTATTACTTGAAATGTTTAATCAGCTTGTTGAATATTTAACTGCATAAACATGGACAATGTTTGTTGCATTTATATTTTCAACTACACAGTATCTCCAAGTTGGTCATGAAATAGATCTTTATATATAATCTAACAATTCTTACATAATATCTACTCGAAGAATAGGTATGCACGCTTCAGTGTTAAAGTATACTAAAATTATTATGATGCTTAATTGTTAAATTTGTCATTCAAAATGACTCAATTATTTATCGGTAAGATAAATAAGTGTTAACGATCTTATGAGCAAAGACAGTTAGTAACTAGTAGTGGAATTCAGGACGCCCGTTTCGTCTCTTTATTAGGATAGATTTTGTTTATATGAGAAGTAAGAATTGTGAAAATAGGCGGGGTGAACGAAAATGAGTTTCAGTGCTGTTTAGCAATGTTCAGTAACTATGTCGTATACAATACACTCAGACATATTTTTTGTACGTTTATTAAACAAATAATGTACATCAAAGCATAATTTCCATCGGAAATTTCATTTCAGTCATCTAAAGTTATCTACAAGTGACTTCTGTTAACAAGTGCAAATCAGACTATCTGGTTGTTGTTCAAAGCTGTTAGTGTCATCGTTTAAACGAAGGTCATGAGTATGTTTTTCGTAAATTAATTCATTATTAGTAGACTCTAAAATCTAGTGATTCTTTTAAGTGGGTTTGCAGAAACTGAAGTCATAACAGTATTCAGTAGATACTCAGTGAATGTCAGCTGATGGTGATAGATGACTTTAAATTTTAAAATTCTTCCAAATCAAATGACAAGATACACTTCTTCGGGTTCGATTCCCACCTGTGGCATCATGGATATGCACTGCTGAAGAGTCCCATCCTGAGACAAAACGAACTTCCGGTGCTTTCAGACTTTTAATGGTTTTTTTAACTCAGATCGATTCATGATTTCAATGAAGTTCAACTATTTTCACAACCTAATACAGAAGTACATATTTTATGTATCTCAAAAACCTTTTTTTATGAATGTAAAATTCAAGAAATAGGTTGCTAACTAAATGTCCTCCAAGTGTAGAAAATCAATACTTCAATAAACAATCTTGAAAAATGCGGTAATGACCCTGTAAATGACAGTAAAAGGTATGAAATGTAATTACGTTTTCAAGTTAACGTTTACAACATACCATAGAATCATGCATTTGATTGATTTCAGGTTTACTGGGTATCGACATAGCTCGACTTGCAAATCGCAAAGTGGATAACTACAAACAATTACAAATAAAATACATTAAAATAGATTTTTAAAAACATCTATTTGTACAAATCATTATATTCTGTTTGATAATAAATAGCAGTTGAACAACGGAAGCTAATATATCCTCAGTAAGGAGCTCTCAACAGTAACAATTTAATATATTCAATAGGCATTTTCCTGTCCCTATAATGTAGACCTCAACAATAGTATAACTAATCAAGCAAAGCTAAGAAAATTAAGAATTTCTTAAGAGTTATTTCATTTCAAGTCATTTTACAACACATGTATGTTTTCAATTATAGATAAATCATGACAAGTAAATTTTGTTCTAGATCCATAATTTGTTGCGTAATACATCAAAACAATTTATTCACAAAATATAGCCAGCTTCACTGAGCAATTTCTGTCATTTTAACAAATGCTCAGTTATTTAAATGACGAGTTGAACTAACAAAGATTTGTCAAGATGATTTATTACATTTCGTGTAACATTCATTAAAATCAGAGATGACAATGGATGAGGTTAGTACTATTTAACAAACTATTGAAGAAGTTTAATTTTCAGAAAACTACTGCATCCCTGTTAAATCTTTAGTCTGTTAAGTTAATTTTTTACTCCAGAATGACACATAAAAGGTTTCATTCCATGTGTATAACGATTAAAAACATTATTTTTCTAATGATCCTTTCTTTCTTAGTTCACTGATTTATGATCCTATTCTTAAAGCTCCCGTAAATTTATACTCAAGAGGTATTCGATTGTATCTATCTTCTTTGATTTCTAGTAACAAACTATTCCTGAAGGATTATATTTTAGGCTGACTATAACTAGGAGAAACTGAAAGGCAATAATAGTATCTAGAGTACCTGAAACACTGCAAGAAACCTTTGTCGTCTACTTCAATACATATTGCAAACTTAAAGTCTGGACCACTAGATTCTAACTGTGTGCCTCATGATTTCTTACTAGTCGCTATAACTGAAAGCTTTGGTTCAATCTCTTAAGATTCAAGTTGCTTGAAATGCTATAAACTAAAAAACGAGGACAGCACCTCCCCATTCCTTCCTGATTTTCTAATATTTCTCTGAATAATATCAATAAATAGTGAACAGTGAGTTCCAATAGAGGTTTATAAGAAAAAAGTTATGAACATATTAAAAAGTGAACTAACGAAATCGTACAGTTTCTTTTAGAAATGTATTTTTATTCCATATATTAGCTATGAGAATAGTTTGGCAACGACCTCCAATGCTATTTTTTAGAAAATGGGTTAATTTCGATTGTCGATATGGTATATAATCTCTTGCTGGATCAGATAACGCCAAAATTGTTTGCTCTAAAAATGCTAAAGAACGGTTAATGTAGGCAGATTCCTTGAATAGTTTATCAGTAATCTTAATAAAAAATAGAAAAAAGAACAATATTTTTTGTAATAAGTAATATTGAAAATAACAATCGAATTTATTTGTTATTATATGTATTTTAATTTTGATCTAATAATATCGAAAAGTAGATGAAATTTCAAGAGATATGTTGTCAATAAAGGTCCAAATGTTGATTCTTCTGCTGTAATAACGTAACTAAAGATAATGATAGTTGAATTATCAGAAAAACTAATAAACAGTATCTGAATACGAATTATTTCTTAAAATTATGTGTGTCCATCACAACTGATTTTCATTTTATTCATAAGTATTATAAAAGTGATCAACAAGATATGCTTTTAAACAACCATATAATCATTAAGTTAGTAAGATTCAAAATGGTCTAATGTATTTTACTTGGGTTTCTTTCTGGTTAGCGTTTTTAGCGAGTTATTTTTCCACGGGATTGGGTTGCTAACCCCATGACCAACCCTCCTCTTTATCCGGGATTGGGGCCGGCAGCAGCCCAAGAGGGGCTCCAGGCGGCGTGCCTGAGAAGATATTCAATATCGTACAGAATTCCTATGGTGGATTAAACTGCAAAATCATGCATGAAGGACAGTTGACAAACTCGTTCGAAGTAAAGACCGGTGTCAGGCAAGGTTGCTCACTCTCACCCTTTCTCTTTCTCCTGGTGATCAACTGGATCATGAAGATGTCAACGTCTGGGGAGATGCATGGGGTACAGTGGACATCTAAGATGCAGTTGGACGATCTAGATTTCGCACATGATCTCGCTCTTTCATCGCACACGCAAAAACAAATGCAGGAGAAAACGACCAGTGTAGCAGCAGCCTCAGCAGAAGTAAGTCTCAATATACACAAAGGGGAAAGCAAGATTCTCCTATACAACACAGCAAGCACCAATCCAATCACAATTGACGGAGAAGATTCGCAAGATGTGAATACCTTGACATATTCGGGCAGCATCATTGATGAACATGGTGGATCTGATGCAGATGTGGAAGCGCGGATCGGCAAAACAAGAACAACATATTTACGACTGAAGAACATTTGGAACTCAAAACAGTTGTCAACCAACACCAAAGTCAAAATTTTCAATACAAATGTTAATACAGTTCTACTGTATGGAGCGGAAACCTGGAGAACGACGAGAGCCATCATCCAGAAGATACAGGTGTTTATTAACAGCTGTCTACGCAAATTACTTTGGATCCGTTGGCCGGACACTATTAGCAACAACGTACTGTGGGAGAGAACAAACCAGATCCCAGTGGAGGAAGAAATCAGGAAGAAGTGCTGGAAGTGGATAGGATACACACATTGAGGAAAGCAAACAACTGCGTTACAAGACAAGCTCTCACGTAGAATCCTGAATGCCAAAGGGGTTGAGGAAGACCAAAGAACATATTACGCCGAGAAATGGAAACAGGCATGAAAATAATGAACAAAAATTGGATAGAATTAGAAAGGAAGGCCTAGGATAGAGTGGGTTGGAGAATGCTGGGTGTAATAGGCGTAAGTGAGTAAGTAATTATTTCACTTCATTTCATAACGTCGTCCAATCTGTTAATATTCAAACTTTGAAGCAGAACATTTCTAATTATGTGCATATTGCGATTCACTATTTATAATGCCTAATAGTCTTCTATTTTATGTACATACAATCACATGAGTTTTAAATTCAATAACAACAAAAGGTACTTAGTTGGCTTTCTAATGTATCCTAATAGATAGATTAAGAACAATTGAGAAATTTCCCTTGAGTAATCAAACACATGTGGTGTATGGAAGCTGAATTAGAGAGATCAGTTAGTATGCCATAATCAAGAGAACAAATTTCTAATAATTACCAATAACCCTCATAAAAAAAGGTGTTCTGTACAAAACGCAATACGTTGATCCGTACTTGATTATTAAATCAGAATAAAGCAAAATTTGTATGAATATCTGGCGGATCAAAGTCTGGATAAAGGGGAAAGTTTAGGGTATAGAGCTTACAACCCAATTCCGTAGAAAAGAAATTTGCTAAAAAGACCAGACCAGTTAAATTATTCGAACGATTTAAACTCTTTCCTGAGGGATAAAGGTTGTCCATTTAGAAAAGTTATGACGACTCATGATGAAAGCCGAGGTTTCTGGTAAATCACGACGTCGATGCTTCTTATGACAACTGGATCAACAACTAATATAGGTACACAGAATGTCCAGAAAATCTGAGAGATTGAAATGGCATTTCAAACAGCTACAGGAATGAGAAGAAAAGCCTGGAGGTGCTCGGAATAAGCTAAATGCATTGGACCCAAGCTGGACAGAAAAAATAGATTCAAGAGAGTTGCTGTTGTACTCTAGTTACGAAGAAGAAAATGCTCCCCACACCCAGCAAGTTGCTCTAATGCTGTCCAAAGAAACACGAAATGCATTTATAGTATGGGAATCTCATGGATTCAGAATCAGTAAAGCATACTTCAAAACAAAGAAGGAGGGAATCACAATGAATATTATCCAGTGTTATGCACTAATCAATAATAGCAACGACCACGATAAAAATCAGTTTTGCGGGGCTGCAGTCGATTGTAGAGGAATGCTCAGGAAAGGGCCTGACAGTCCTGATGGGAGACTGAAATGATAAAATCTAAATGAACAACACCGGGTATGAATATATCATGAGATGACACGGACTGGAAGAAATGAACCAGAAAGGTGAGATACTCATAAATCTATGTACTTTCTGGAACACAGCTATGGGCCACACCATAATCTCCACAAACGCATACACAGAGCCACATCAGTTTCACAGGACCGGAATAAAAAAATCGGATTTATCACATTTGCTTCAACATAAAAATTCTGAAGGTCCATGGAAAACATAAGAACAAAGATAAATCCCAACATAGCTTTAGATCACAACTTGGTGATAGCCAAGCTAAAAATTAAGCTGAAGAAGCATTAGACGATTATGCAAACAATATTACAAAACTTTAATACAGCTTTTCTTCAAAAGCTTAAAAATTCAATAAATTCACAATGGGTTTCAGTAACATACTCTAGGCCTTACAAGACCTACCAGAAGTATTTACTGTGTAGTCCTCAGATTTTAGTAAAACATTCTGTAATTTTGTGTTAAAATACATTCGATTTTGTCCACTTGTGTTCTTGTTCACTACATTTGGTGTCGCTGCTAACCAGGAGAGAGGAAGTGTTCTGTTCTGCGTACGCCGTTGCGGGCCTGGGGCTGAGGTCCCGGTTGGGGCGGTCTGTTGCGGGGAGGTAACGTCGAGTAGAACTTTCTGGTAGGGCGTTGTTGGCCGCAGACTCAACATTTTGATGAAGAGCGTGGAACAGACTACGGAAAAGAGTAAAGTGGCACGGTGAACAGAACCACTGCAAGAACGACTGCTTTAAAGGGGGACGGGTGTGATGTGAGCTACTTATATCCACATAAGTAGTATTTAACAATCGTCAGGAATAGAATATATTTCAGTAGAAGATCGAGAAGGAAGGTACGGGGACGGAAAACAGTTGGTATGAAAATGCAGAAACAATGAAATCTGAGTCGATGGACTGATATTTGCAAAAGAAACAATCAAGTTTGAGACAATTGATTGATATTTTGCACATAATTTATTCACTGCATGGATCTCAGATTTTAGCGAGATGTTCTGTAATTTTATGTCCGATTATCCGCACTCGTGTTATTTTTTACTACATGTTTATTATTCAACAAATAAATAATTTGGTATAAGCCTATGAATTAGTTTCTTTCTGCTTCTGATTAAATAGTAGTACAGATAAGGCATACATTAGTATTGGGTAAGTAGATAGTCACATTTTTGCGGTTAGTATTCTTACTACTAAGTTATTACTCTCTCCATAACTATTTTCGCAAGCTAAACAATTTCAAAACTTCATTTAATGCTTTGTTGACCTGGTTGAACTCCATTGATAACGGCTTTTCACTAGAACTCCAGGAAATGCGCTCGCTCGCGAGACTGATAGGTCCTGGGTTCGAATCTCACGGGGGGCTGGATCATGTGTGCGCACTGATGAGGAGTCTCGTACTATGACGAAACGGCCGTCCAGTGTTTCCAGGTTTTCCATAGTGATTTAGTTCCAATTGACCCATGATCTCAACAATTGAAATAATAAAACAAATTTAACACACACACACACTCAAACTCAAACATAAATGAATACGCTATGAGACCTGTGTTCTTTTTAAATTGTCTGAACCAGCTAAATCCACATAATGAATTTTACTGCATTTGATACATCCATTACTGTCCATTGAATCAATAATCGTTAAATAGACTGTAAATATAGCATGAGCACGTGATGAAAAACGATTTAATGAATGTGATGCAACAGTACGATTTAATTCCCCCTGTACAAATAGTGGTATTTGGAAAAAAAAAAAAAAATTACTTTATTAGTTATTAGAAGGTAACATTTCAAATGAAAATATTCAGAAATTATAATGTCAACAAAGAAACTCATAACTGTAATAGATGGATCATTTATTATTTATTATAAAATACATAACTCAATAAGATAAAATATAACACAAAAGTAGTCATAACTTTGACGATATACATTGACGTCTTTAAATAAGGAAACTAGTCAATACTTCTCTTTTCTCAACGAATCATATCAAATACTATTTCGGAAACTGAAAATTGTACAAATTCACTTAGTATTGTTTACTTGAATTTTTCTATTGATGTTTAAGACTGAGAGTGATTAGTTGCTTATTGGCATATATGAATCATGTGCGTGAATCTAAACTTCACCACATTGCACAAGCAAGCGGTTATCAGTATTCTGTAACTAAGTGAATAACGCAATGGTGTTTGAAGCGAATGGTACTGGGTTCGAGTCCCAGAGTGAACATCAAGTCTGAGATGCAGGTACATGCAGTTGATGAGTCACACATAGAACGAAACGCGCGTTTTGCTTTCCACTTCCAGCCACTATCTATCTTTCAATAGTTGAAGCTAGATCACCAATGAAAACCTGGAAGCGCTGGGCGGCCATTTCGTCCTAGTATGGGACTCCTCAGCAGTGCTCATCCACGATCCCGCCCCCCACGAGATTCGAACCTAGGACCTATCAGTCTCGCTCGCGAGATCATTTCCTGGAAATCCAGTGAGAAGCCGTGACCAGTGGAGTTCAACTAGGTCTGTTGTGAGATATCATTTCACTGAAGACAATGGTGTACGATGGAGCAATTTCGTGGATTAATTGAAGTTAGACATTAACACCGTTGGATGCCGGCTCAGTGGTTTAGTGGTTAAGTGCTCATGCGCGAAAAACTGATAGGTCCTGGGTTAGAATAGTGGATGCGCACTGCTGAGGAGTCCCACAATAGGACGAAACGGCCGTTCAGTGCTCCCAGGTTTTCCATGGTGATCTAGCTTCAATTGACTCATGATTTCAACTATTGAAACTACTAAAATCTCCACAAAACCCTTTCTGATAACTACCTATCTTTGCTGAAAATTGTACAGTTGTTATTATCAGTTTTAAAAGTTTCCATAGAAACAGTATAAAATAAAATAGTCATACTGTATAGGTCTTTAACATTTATAAACGCATTTAAAATTGTATTTTTCAGAGGTTTATCAAGTTATATCGGTCAACCCATGGTAAAAACTATTATCAGATAAGAACAATTACTCAAAAACACTTTATTTAATTATGACGCGTATTTTAATATACTCAAATGTAGTAATAGAGACGTATCGACAAGTTTCTTTCCTTTTTTTATTTCAGATAGTATTTAAGTTGACAGTTTTAAGAGTTTCGCTAATGTTAAGATATCAGCTGAAGTAACATGAAATAAGTGAACTTCATATTTCGTTCTAGAATGAGAAATCTAATCATTTGAACTTTAATAAACGTGTAACTGAAGGCATTATCAGGATTCAAATATGTCAGTAGAGACTGATTACAATCAGTCCTTGTTATTGGTAAACAGAAAATTTAATAACCTGACATATGGCTTCATGTCTATGAAAGATTGTAACAGCCATCTGAACTCAGTAGTTCGATGAACAACCCAGTGGTATTTGTAACAAAAGTGAGTTCAAATAAACATTCGTGTAAACATTAACATGGGTGTACATGTACATCCTGATGATAAGTTCCAAATAGGACAAAACGCGTGTGCTGGTTTCTACTGTTAGCCCCAATACAAATTTAGTAGACTTTGTGACTAAACAATATGTCACTAAGATTCACTCAGAATGCACATATATTAGAAGAAACTGATCAAAATACGGTACTGAAAATCTGCAGCGGAGAGTTGCAAAATCTCACTGATTATCTTTATAGTTTTAAAATAATTTTCATTACGGCCTAGTAAGAATTGGGAAGAACTATGAAACTGTTGAACAAATATCTCCTTATTAGTATGGAGAAATTGGTAGTAATTGTAGAATTTTCGTAGTTTAAACCCCGAATTGATCGAAGCTAGATCACTGTTGAAAACCTGGTAGCACTGGACCGCCGTTTAATCCTAGTGCTGGACTCCTTAACAGTACACATTAATGACCACTCGGCTGAGTAAATATTTGACTCCTGGAGTCCTAGTGAGAAGTCATAACCAGTGGACTTCAACCGCGTCAGATTTGAGGAAGTTACCCATCAAATATAATGAATAATTATTGCGTAATATCGTGAATCGAGTGAATGATATCATGATATCATTTATATGAAACTTTACTTGACTACTGGGTTACCTTAGACAAGTAAGTATTTTACTACATCAAATACCAACAGATTTAAAATTATCAGTATGGGATTTTAGAGATTATTGAGTTCATGAATCAACCAATGCTAGACCACCATTAAAAACCTGGAAGCATTATACGTCTGTTTTGTCCTAGTATAAAACTCTTCAGCAGTGCGCACTCACTGCTCTACTGGAGAGACTTGAATCCAGTACCCTCGGTCTTGTGCGCAAACTCCTCACTTCCATACCACTTAGTCAGCATCCAACGATGTTAATGTTTTCGACGAAGTAACACTGTTTAACTTACTGTGTTAAGAAATTTACCACTATAAAAATTCTTTGTTAAGACTAAAGTGAGAAATATCCAACATTTTGGCATTAATCGTTTCTTCTATGAGCACTAAATCCAAATGCTAAATACTAACACTTTTTTATTCTCTCAAAAACTATTACCGGAAAGATCATAATATCTTTTATAATTTTTATCAAAAATTTTAAAAACTGTGACTTAAGTATTAGTGTGATGTGTGCTACTGATGTCGACAGATATAAGTAACAAGTATTATCAATCGAAAGTGCAATGCTTAAAAGCGGAAGGTTGAGAAGATTGAAGAGAAGAGAACGAGAACAGCGAGTGGTTGTGATATAGAAATGAAGGAAGAATGAAGTTCGAGAGAACTGATAGACATCTTACAAATGAAGTATATGCTGTATGGTTTTTAGATTTTACTAAGAGATTCTATAATAATGAATTTTATTACATTTGGTTGTCCCAACTATTGTTCTCATACATTACATTAGTAATGACACAAAGTAAAAGTCTGAAAGTCAATCCATCCAATTTTCAGTCAACGAAATTGTTTATAATTCACGAAAATAAAGGTCATACATTAAAACAACAACTTACCTCAAACAATACAGTCAATGCTTCTTCTAAATTATTTACAGTTAAGCAATTTAATCCTTTAATATAAACTTGATCATTTGATTCAGCAATTTGTAAAAACTCAAAAGAAGATCGTTTGAATGCTGTTTTGTCCAAAGATATACCGGCTAATAAGTCAATAATTTGTTCATTGTATATTTCAATATAAGACAGTCTAAAATGAAATGCATAATCTTGCTGTAAAGATAAATAAACGACTTTACGGCATTCGAACTATGTCAGTAAAAATACGTATTAATTTGTATTTTAAGTGTTTATAACTTGCCATCTAGAAATGTATTGATAAAAGTACTTCATACATTAATAGTTTAAATAGTAAAAAACATATACGAAAAACACGATTATATATATATATATTACAAAAGCTTTGTGATATTCTCCACTTATTTATTCCGATCAGACTACCAGTCAAAACAGTGAAGCACTAGATAGTTGTTATATGTTTATATCAAACTCCTCAGCGGTGAAAACCCATGACAATGCTATCAATCTTAGCTAAAACTTCCAAGTTTAGTGAATAACTCTTTATCATTAGCCAAATGAGTTAGAGAAAACGGTAGATTTTACCCCACTTAACCAATTTTTAATATAGCATGTAATTGACAGAAAGATAAATGTCCATGTTTTAATGTCATTTAAATATTGTTATAATTGCATTGATTGAAAATTATATATCTATTTCCTTGTTAAATTTAAAAGGATAAAATCTATTTTTAATCTACTATAGATTAAACAATGTATAGATATTAATCTACAACTTATTTTCTTCCATTTCATATTCCTTACTCGGTAGAATTTTTTGTTTTTTTCTTTCCACTCTCCAAATACTCACATATACTACTACTGTGCTGCGTGCTACTTATATTGACATAAGTAGTATATATTGAGAGTCAGGAATGTAATGTTTGGCAGCAGAAGATTGGGAAGATGAAGAAAGGAAGAACGAGAATAGAAAGTAATTATTATAGAAATGCAAGAACAATGAAGTTTGAGACAACTGTTGAACATTTTGCAAATTAGGTATTATAGTATGGTTTTTCCATTTTACCAAGTAACTTTTGATTACTACCCCGAAGAAGTTCAGACAAGTTAGCTGGACGGAACGTCGGAATTATTTGAATTTCAATCGCTGCGATTATTTCAAAGATAACTTTCACATGTAATAACTCTGTAATGTTGTATTAAGTATAATTCGGTTGTCCTCACCTGTGTTCTCCTTCACAACACCACTAACTAGTTACAAGATAACATATGGATGTCACTTCATAATGTCTTATTGTTAAAATTATTTTCAAATCAAAATATCACAGTGAACAGAGCTATTACGAAATACTATTGCCATGTTATAGAAATAAAGACAAAAAAAGAAAACAGATATGGTGTGTTGGATAGCTAACATTTTAATACTTAAGGAATAAACAGTTTATATTTTGTTATTTGTTAACTATACTTAAAATGTCAGGTCTGAAATGAAGAAATAATTCACATGAACGTCATAAAGCACAAAATTCGTTATGTCATGATCGTATTACTAAAGAATGATAATGTAAGTGTTACGCATCGGAATATCTAAAATGATCACAAAAATAACAAAATACAATTAGACACTAGACAAATATTATTGATAATTGATGTAATGTAAATAGTCAAACGTTAGTCATTCAGAAAAATATTTTATTCAAAGATGATTACTGGTGACTTATTTCAAATGGTCATTCCAGGAGTTATATTGAGGAACCATGACCAGTAGAGTTCAATCATATAGAATGTAAAGTAGTTACCTATGAATTACATTAGAAGATCGTTGCATAGTATCAAGAATTGGATGAAGTTTAGCATGTCGGCTAAATGGTCTAGAGGTCAAGGGCTAAGATCCTGAGTTTGATCCCAGATTGGGTTGTAGATATGAACAGCTGAGGAGTATCATGCTAGGACAAATCAGCTGCCCAGTACATTCTGGTTTTCAGCGTTCTTTTAAATAGGATAAGTCTGTGATGTAAATTATCGAAAGAAAGTCCCCACAATGAAAAGATTAATTAGCTTTTATATAAAAAACTGTTGAAAAGTTATTTACTTCACAGTAATAGAAAGTGTTGACCTTTTCTGTATTTCTTCAAATAAATGCCCAATACTTCGTGGTATGATTCCACGATCATTATATATTTGTGATAAACCACTCATTGTGTATGTTTTTCCAGCTCCTATTTGTCCATAACATAATATGGTTCCTGAAGTTAAATATCAAGAATGTTTCTTTTGCAACACAGTAATTAAAGTATATAACTTAATCAAAATTTAGTAATATGATATACTAATTTTAGCCAAGATATCTTTAAAAACACTAAGTGGATAGATGAAAACGCTGGGTTGTATTAACATGAAAAGACGTGGCAAGTGTAGCTCGACTGTGTAGTGTGTGAGGCAGTTATCCACCGAAGACAACAGAAAATAGTTGCTCAATGTCACGAATTGCTTGAAGTTGTGTATTAACATCGTTGAATGCTGGCTCAGCGCTCTAGAGGTTAAGTGTTCCTGTGAGACTGAACGTCCTGGATTCAAGTCCCTAGTACAGAGTTGTGAGTACGCACCGCTGAAGAGTCCTATACTGTGGGGAAACAGCCGTGCTTCCAGGTTTTCAATGGTGGTCTAAAATTGATCGATTCATAATCACGATGAACACTCACCAATCTCCACATCTTCTTCACTAATATAAGAAAAAACCGTAGTTCACACCAAATAATATTGATTTCCTAAGCTAGATGTGACTAGTGTAGTGATCAATTTCGAGGTGGATCCGTCAAAGTTCACGTGGTGTCAGACTAAACAAGAAACGTTGACGTTCTGAGACCGATTTCATGTAAAAGTAATAAGTGCATGTTGTAAAACGCTCTCTCAGTTTTTTCTGGTTGCTAGTGTTTCTGTAAAACATGACTTCACAATGAAAATTACCATTATTAGATAATATCTGTAAGCCTAGAAGATTCATTTGAAACTAATTTTACACAAATAATTGACAAACACAAACAAGAACAGCTGTAGTTCTCCATATAATATAGAACAACATTTAATAACTTGACTAGTTAGCAATACATTTTACTTTAGACATCGACATACTAGGCTCTATCTATGTAATATCATATTACAGATAATTGATTGCTGGATAATCATAAAGTATGTCACCATAGTCAATGCAAGTTCATATCTAAAATGATTTTTCTTTTACGTCTGACAAATGATTGTAGATTTACTTCTGTGTTTTATCTCTGTATCTAAAAGATGCACATAAATACATTTTACTTTTAAAAATTAAGTTTAACAATCTTATAGTAAAGTAGTTTAGGTTGGTTTCATTTTATTTTGGACTAGATAACTGAATATATTTACATTCCATTGTTGACATTTCCACCTAGACGTCAAATGTTGCAGTCATTATCAAATATGCTATCAAGTTATGATAGTTATCAATTCATTCATTAGATATGACATTCATTATTGATTGTAAGCGTTGAAATGTTTGAACTATTGTAATTTACAAATGAATTTCAATAGTGTCTGTTGAATTATAAGTTTTCTTACCAACAAGGACTGAATGGAAATAACGAAAAAATGTAGACTTATAATTCATAGCTATTTGTCAATACACTTATTTCATAAATGATTATACTTTGAATTAGTCTGACAAACTATGAATTTAAATCATTGTTCCAATCTATGTTGTAGATCATATTTTCAAGAACTAATAACACTATGAATATTCATCCAATTTAATACTCAATAATGTAGCGCTACTAAACAATAAACAGAAATATAAAAGCAAATCCTTATAAGAGAAATGGTAATTAATCTTTAGTAACCATAGAAGGTATACGAATCATTGCATTTCATTGTTTTCTTACTGCAACACAAGTTGTCACAGAAATCAAATTAATTACTACCATTGAATACCGGCTCAGTGGTCAAGTGGTTAAGCATTTGAGAGCGATACCAAAGCTCCTGGGTTCGAATCTCGTTAGCGAGATTGTGGATGCGCATTACTGAAGAGTCCCATACTAGGACGAAATGGCCATCTTATGCTTCTAGGTTTTTAATAATGGTCTAACATCAATCTGAATCGAAAACTTATTAATCTCCACAACTCGATATTGATAATAAATTATCATTATTACATCATTGTAAACGTTATCATAACATCGATATTGAAAACCTTTTACAAAAAATAAAATATTATTATTTTACATATAAGTAGTAAATAAAATATATAATAAATAATTTACCATTAATTCCAATTAATGCATCATTAATTAAATGACTTGCTGTTATTTGATAAATTTCTTCTTGGGAATTATGATAGAAAATTTTATTAAATTTATAATTCATAGCCAATATTTGATGATTAACAGGTACAATAGTTTTAAATTGATGAGTGTCAATACGTACAGTCTATTGCGTTAAGAAAACAACAACAAAAATAAGTAATGTAAATGTATATAATTGATTAATTGAATGTACATGTTTTTTGTTTATTACTGAAAAAGAATAGAGAATTATGCACTTAAAATATACATTTTTTTTCTCATTAATGAAGTAGTTCACACAAATTCTTCTATGATAATTAGTTAGTATAAGCAAATATGGATAGTACCTAGCAGTAAAATCTATAACGCATGTTTCGTCCTATTTGGGACTTGTCAACTGGATGTACCTGCATTCCATAGTTGATGTTCACTCCAGGACCCGAAACCAGTATCATTCAAATCATACACCATCTCGTTATCCATTCAGTTCCTGAGTTCTTATAAAGCGTTTGAAGCGAAAGGTACTGGGTTCGAGTCCCGGAGTGAATATTTACTCCAGTCGACAAGTCCCAAATAGAACAAAACACGTGTCCTGGATTCCACTGCTAGCCACTATTCATATTTGCTTATAATGCTTGCAAATTAAGGCAATATCGAGGTAGTACACACACAGGATGCACATATACCAACAACAAACTAATCAATTGTAGTCCTTAACAACAATGGGAAGATACAAGTAAACAATACCAAGTGAATTAATTAGTTAGTATATACAAAACAAAGGCTAATGTTTAGATTACTGTTTACAACGTGATGTTAAATAGGGAACACTATTGAAAATTAAAAGTACAGTGAATTATTGTTTTAGCCTTTCAACAATAGATAATTACTGAATTCATATGTAATCTAAAACACAATACCTCCAAATATTATGGCAAATATTTCTATTATTACATAGTCAACATAAAATCAAATGAACTATAGTTTTCCATTTTGCTAAATTCATAATGAAGTCCAATAATTTTTCAATGAATGTATCATTTTTTTAGCTTTGAATTCATTAAGCCAAACATGTTAAATATTTTCATCGGTATTTCATTTAGCTTATCTAGATGATAATTCGTAATGTAAACTATACTTATTATAAAACAAGATAGTATGCATAGATCCAGTGAATGTGTCATGAAAATTTTCAATTACCAATACTTTTTTATAAAAAATTAAATCATGATGAAAGTTGTTGATAACGTAGGATCAGGCACATATATGCATCTGTCCAAGTTGCCGTACCACATCATCACAACAAGATGAACACCGGATTCATAAAAAGAGTAATCCAATGGTGGTAATATATAAAAGAAAGAAGACAAAGAGTGTATACACCCACACCATTGTGATCGATTCTGAGCCATGTCACCAACAGTCTCCAACCATTGGTTACGATAGTCACGCTGACCCCAACCAAGTAGTCTGCATTTATCAACATGGCTCAAACTAGAAGTTATTGACTTCAAGCACTGATGCCACGTTTTGATTTGACCTCCCCTAACTTAATTCCAACCATTCCCAACACTAGTCAGCATTGTGTGTAGTGGTAATCGGTGTTTGGGTATACGTAACACGTGGCCCAACCATCTCAGTCGATGAGGATTCACAACCTCATCAACTGATTTACAATCATTCGCTAATACCCCGCGTTTAACCTCACTATTACTTACTCGGTGATCCCAGCAGATGTGAGCAATATTTCAAAGACATCAATGAGAAAATACTGATAAACTTGCGAGTATCCCCCACCCTTAATGGCCAAGTATTGCAGCTGTAAAGTAAAACAGAACAAACTGATGAGTAGTATGCACGACTCTTAATTGGTAGACGGATATCTTGCCTTCGCCATAGGTGATGTAAGTTGGCAAAAGCCAAACGAGCTTTCTAAATCCGTGCTGAGATTTCGTCAGATACCAACCTATTAGGACTGATCAGACTTCCAGCATAAGTGAAGTTGTTGACGAGTTCGGCTACTTCACTCCCTATCCATAGTTCAGGTATTGACGCAGGTCATGATGATGTTACTGTAAACTTATTGGTTCAATAATATTTCTGCACTACTTATGATGTAGAACCGTTTATAAGATTTCCTTAGTCTCAAGTAAAAAAAGTAACCTTAAGCAACATCACAATTACAGTGTTACTTAAAGCAGATTTCTCCTCATTTGTACAAATAATAGAGCATAAAACTGGGAAATTTGTGATAGATAGTTGGTCACCACTTAACTGTTGGAACCTCCAAGTTCAAGTATAACAGCGATTTTTCTAGTGTGAGATGTAGTTCAATGTTATACGTACCCCCCCTCATGATCCTTCTTTAGAACTACTTAGTGGTTATTTCTAAGTTATTTCAAGGACCACTGCGTCATAATTTTTTCATTTACAACCCAGAAAGTCAGTCAGTAGTCAAACATATTCAAGGAAATTTCACTGGTATACAGTTTTAAGAAGTTCCAAAAAGATATAAAAAAGACCAAATCTCCTATGATTTACAATTACTTTCTAAACAGTAGGAATTTGTTGTTCAAATTATCTTCAAGTTCAGCAGGAATTCATACTTAATCTTTGCTGAATTACTGTGACAGAAGACTATAGCTTAAATTTTTGCCGATTCAGTTATTGAATAAATTATTAGTATAATGGTATAAAATACTCAAAAAGGGCATCCTTGAACTTCAAAATGGGATTTTTATGTTATTCACGAAGTGTAATATCATTTAGCTAGGGCTATATAGTAACAAACCTATCACTGTAATCAGGATTCTTAATTACATCTAAGGATTTCATTTGATCTTATATAATTTTACTAATTTTGCATACCTATGGATTTTTTTTCTGTGTTATCTAGGGAGAGTAAGCTATTAGAGCACTATAAGCCAAGAATTTTACCCCACAATACTGAATAAAAACGTATGTTATAACCAACAAACTTAGAATCTATTGTTATAAATTGTTCAACATCAGTCATGTCATGGGATTACGTGATCATCACCAGATGTAATCTGTGTTAGTTCATTCAATAACCTACAAGCTTAGACAGTCAGTGGAACAGGAGTTTATCACTTTTTGGGTTTTGGTGAGCTTTCCATCTAAAAACTTCGCACAAACGATTTTATTATGCTATTTTTCGTTATCTTATTTTTAAACAATTAAATGATAGGCGAACTTCAGAAAAGTGGTTTACAATTGTAAATTAGCTGTAATACACTGACACGGAGAAAAACACATACCAAATATTTATTAGACTTAGGTACTCTTTACTGATGGTTTAAACGAATAGGGTACATTTGTTAATACTCAATTGTATGATCCTTGGCGTTTTTTGGAATGAAACTTCTTTGATATTAATTGTTTTATTGTTTATAAATGTAATGAGAGATATACTTCCCATCTTACTAATGTCTTATCAGTTTTCTTTAATGTTGAAAGTGGGATTAAAACATCAATGTCTAAACTGATTATTTGATCAACTATGTTTGCTTCGTATTATTACGGCTGTCAAAATAACTGTTATTTTCAAATCTAAATTTTATGACTTTAGTTTTATTGTTACCTAGCGTGATAGGTAAATTGTTCCGAGAAATCTCATCAACCACTAACTTGTTAGTAGAATCCAGTTTTTAATTAATTATCTAGATCACTTTACATTTAGAAATTCTAAAACAAACCCTAAGTTATTTAGCTTACAATGTTAAACTACTAATGAGTAGCCAAAACGAATCCCAGTTATTAATACCATTTGGAAATAGACAAAAGATACTTTAAGTTGGGTCTAATGAGTTCTTTCGTCTCAGAAATTCAGGTGGATGTTTTAAAAACATGACTAGAATTGTGCTAAAGAATGTGATTCAAACAACGACCACTAGAAATGAATCATATCTTGAGTATATTCATACAATGAGTCTTCATTACCTTTGCTACTTTCCAAAACTTACTTTTTGGCCTTCAACTTTAAAATTCTCTTAACGACAACTGAAATTCTTATTTCAAGATTGATTGTATTAAGATTTTTAGGTTTTGATTAAATAATGAAAAATTCAACGAATTTTCAATAAGCCGTTTCCCGAATTTCGCTTGAAGAAATTTATAAACGATTCTTGAAATGTCTGTTTCACGTCAAATCACTACTTTATAATTTCCTAATTCAAGGAAAGATAGACCCTGACTTTTTTGCCTAGCATCACATCAGAAAATCTGACAATATAAATAAGTTTATACGAGAAAAATTTAGGAGACTTAACTTCGATATAAAAATGCTATTATTTTGTGAATAGAAGAACAATACAGTAATAACTATAGTTAATTATTCACTTGAAAATTTCGTAGCAACGAATGGAGAAAGTATCTATTGTAATGAGCAGTTCTTACTGTGATCACAAATTTATCTAAGTTAGGCGATCATAAGAAACGTGGTGGCATCGAGTAACTTTTTCGTCCTAGTATGGAACTCCTTAGCAGTACACATTCACTGACCCTCTGCAGAAGCTCAAGCCACGGAACTACGGTATCGTCAGTGAATGATTAACCTACATACCACCGAGCCAGAATCTAGTGGTTGCAAGTACAAGTCGAATCATTCTATAATATTACGCAACCATCTTCCACTTTCTTCAACGAGTACCCTCATCAAACTACACATGGTTGAACACCACTAGTCAGGTATGGCTCTGATTAGATGCATATATCATATAAGTGAATGTAACTTCATTTTCTTCAAGTCGCATGTCATTTACTACCTAACAATAAACTTTGTTGATTTCATCTAATACTTTAATCTGAGCAACTACAAGCCCAAGTAGTTTTAAGTGGCCCGTCGTTTAGATGTAAATTAGATCGGACGATGTTGTCGACGGGCTCACCACTTTGGTGGCCTGGTATCTGACTCCAGTTTGATCATATGTTGATCGCTATTGGATGAATGCTTTCAAAATATATATGTCGCCTATCCTCGTATATAATTATCGACTTAGACCACATTAGTGAATAACGGAATTAAATAAGTCAAATACGAGAATGGACTTCGAGTACATATATTTTGTACAATCGCCGATCCAGAGAAACGAGGCGAAGAGAAGAGAGCAAAGCAGAATGATGCGCAGTGATAGTGAGGTTAGATGCAGGGTATTAGGGAATGATTGTAAATCAGTTGATGAGGTTGTGAATCCTCATCGACTGAGATGGTTGGGCCACGTGTTACGTATACCCAAACACCGATTACCACTACACACAATGCTGACTAATGTTGGGGATGGTTGGAAGAAAGTTGTGGGCGGCCAAATCAAAACGTGGCATCAGTGCTTGAAGTCAATAACTTCTAGTTTGAGCCATGTTGATAAATGCAGACTACTTGGTTGGGGTCAGCGTGACTATCGTAACCAATAATTGGAGACTGTTGGTGACATGGCTCAGTACCGATCACAATGGTGTGGGTGTATACACTCTTTGTCTTCCCTTAAACTATGAGACTAAAACCATATCATATCTTTCTTTCTATGAACTAATTCTCTCTTCCTGTATTATATTTTTATATGCAATCTTTCTTCTGTATATTACCACCATTGAATTAACTACTTTTATGAATCCGGTGTTCATCTTGTTGTGCTGATGCGGCACGGCAACTCGGACCGATGCGTACATGTGCCTGGTTCTACGTTGCAGCTGATTGACTACCTGACAGTTGAGAAGGCATGTAAGCCAACTCAATTTGATCAAGAGTTAATTAATATTTATTGTCACAAAAAAATAAGCTACAGACATTTTGTGGTTAGGATAAGAAGCACACACACATACGCTTACATAAGAACAGTCAAGATTGATAAGCAAATAATCAACAAGGTCAAAATGTGACTCAAGTAGAATAAATAGACTGGCCTGTCCAAAAGCTAGAATAAGGTGTATGGGCCTAACATAACCGACACTACGAGCCTCGTGGCGATGAAGAGAAAATGAGAATAGTTACATCAATACAATACTTCAAAATGTGTTGCTTCAGAAACTCTATTTTAAATTTGGTGTTTTTGGAATACACCTAATTTTCAAGTTCTTGTAAAAGAAAACAATAACTTAATTGTATCATCGAATTGTTTTGTTAAGACAGGGGTATTTAGTATAAACAAAAGTTTAAACATTCAAAGGCTATTATTTAAAATAATATGCTTATACAGTTAAAGGCTACTTTGCAATAATCAGAATGCCATAAATTGGGCATTATTAGCCTCCAGAAAATTCGAATGGTTTAATTTTGCACTTGGAAAATATTAACATGATATGATAACTGGGAATTTAATCCTATAGGTTTCAATGTGACAGTCTCAATCATAAAATTTGGTGACCAGTACCGAATAAGTTACTTGAAAGTATGTCACCAGTTGAATATTATGTACAACTGTGACAGCCTTACTTCATTTAGGATGCAATTCAGTCAACAATCTAAAAGTTTTGTTATCCCATTTTCATTCATCTCGTAACTGAGGTTTACTTTTGTCAGTATTCATTTTCTTTGATTTCTTCAAGTACATGTTTGTACCCTATGGATTGTTCCAGCATCCTTTACTATAATATATATACTGGAAATAATTTTGTCTATCAATCTCCGCTTGGGATCCTAAAACAATGCAGTATTTTATAAATGGACCACTCAATCAACAAATACTCAAAACCTTTGAAAAATCATATTCACATGCATAGGCTGCCTTTTCACTTTTTTATTTGATCTATTTTAATTAGGAAAGGTTGCTAAACATTACAGAATCGCACCAACAGATAAAATTATAAGTAAGATATGATGCCGGGTATTTCATCACTCTATCTTTCGTTTATAAGAATAATTAGCACGATCGATAATTAGTAGTGGAAGTGAATCCTGAAAGTAATAATTATGGAACAGCAGTGGATCGAATCGAAAATTAGACGACACTAACTACTTTTACTTAAATTATTCAATACCTCTAACTCTCATGCTTATTACTCGCATAGGTGATTTTCATTTGTCCAGAGTCAACTATGTTTACCCTTCTCAGGACCCTTCTACATGGTTTTTACTTACTATCTGCATTTTAAACTACAGTTCGATATGCAGAAAATTTCATCACATTTATTGGCTCTTGTGTACTCAAACTTCACTCAAATGAAGGACAGTATGTAGAAACGATAAAACTTTCAAGCTGTTTAAACAAACTACTTGTGTGGCCTTAACGATGATAAATGGAAATATGTACTAGTAAATTCGTCATGAACACTCAGAAAACGGGGTGTCCTTTGACACAAGTATGTGAAACCATGCTTCATAATCTTAAAATAACACAGTCTACTACAGCAACTCTCATATGATTTCAATGTCTACGGTTTTATTGTAAGAATTACTGATATGCGTGCTGGTCTTACAGTCCACTTGACGGCATTAGGCACACAATTGCTCAACCAGTACATATATAATCCGAGTAGTATAGGTTTGCTTAGATCACCGTAAACCAACTACAGTGACTGTAGCAGATGGGTCCATGGTTTGGTGCTTGCCCTATACACTTGACTTAATGTGAAATTTCTATGAAGAGCTAACGGATCATTCTAGTTCCATTTCACTGCTATATCGCTAAAACTTACACTATTACTCTATTTTTTTAAACATAATTCAGTAATATAGGATAATTAATCAATTAAAACGTCACTACTTAAGTATACAGATATCATGTCCAAAATGACTTGCCCCTTGGCCTTCTTTAATTACCTCTAGAAACCAACTTTTAGCCGCAAACCAGTAAAGTCTTCTGCCAGATAGCAATCTATTAGGAGACTATATATCAATATTGCTTCTGGTTGTGGCAACTAATATGTGAATTTTTATTATTCTTGGTAATAACTGCAGTAAAAGTGTTTTTTGCAACGAACCATAACATACACTTTTGAGTGTTAATCAATAAAATTTGTTAACTACAAAACTTTGAGGAGCTATAGCTTTCCAAATGCATGAAGAATATACACCTATTATAGTACTAGCTACTATATACACACATAAAAAACGAAGTTTCATTACAGTGAAAGTACCTACGTAATAACAGAGTAAATAAAATGAGGCTCGTAAATGGGCGAATAAACTATAATTCAATTAATTTAACTTTAGATAAAGGGTAAGCGAAGAAATATTCATTCGACTTTCTTACATTACATAGATCTACAATTCTTTTTTAGTTGTTTCTGAGGGATGAAACATCTCAAGATTGCCATTAAATTATCAGTCTGTTTGTAATCAGAATACGTTAACAAATCGTTGCTGGTCTTACTAAGTACAGTGATTTCTCTGTGAATAAAGTTCAACTAGATCAAACTAAAACGCAACTAGTGTGAAAAATTTCCAAACTTTATACTCCTTTTACACTGACCAGCAAGACTGCCCCTTAATTAAATAGAAATAACATTACGATTTCAACCTATTTTTTACTTTATTTAATCCGTAAAACTCTATTTTATACGACTTTGAACAGCATTTCGATCAGCCTAGTTACAAATCAGAGGCCGGATTCACGAAACTGCAGTCAGTGTTAATTATAAATATATCTGTGCAAAAAAATAGTGGATATCTCCTATCGTTGTCTACACTGTTTGGAATCAACATAGAACTAGAAGATTAAGTGGATGTGTATCTGCACACGTGGGTAACCCACCTAACGAACATTTGTTTTTAAACAGAAACACCGGTATGGGTCTTCCTGATTACCTGATCATCCTCTAAATACAGGATTTCTTTGAGGTTAACATGGGAAGATGGCTTTACTCTAAGGAATGTTGTGACTGGCATTTGAAAATTTCCAATGACCTTAAACCAATGGCAACGTGACCTTTGGGAAGATAGGCCTGACAAGCTTATTTTGTAAATAGTTTTCAATGTTATTTGTATTTATTTTGTCAACCTTTCACTGTACACATATTTAACATTAAATGACTGTAACCGTTGTTTTAGTAAATGACCTTGAACGCACTTTCCGTTGTGATACTGACATAGAGTGACATGCTCTTGCTGGCTAACAAATACACTACTACTCACACATTCCTCGTTCTATCTTCGTTTGTGATTGAGTTAACTGATGTCTAAATCAAATACTATCTACATTTATAGACTGTAATTGGAATATATCACATCCTACGTTAGATTGTATCACTGGAGAGTTCGTCAACCAGATTGGAATTACCAAGCATTTATAATTGTGGTTTTGTGGAGATAGACCTGACAAGCTTATTTTGTAAATAGTTTTTAATATTATTTGTATTTATTTTGTCAATTTCCCACTGCATGTACATTTATCATTAAATGATTGTACCCGTTGTTTAAGTCATTGACCTTGAAGACACTTTCCGTTGAGCTACTACATAGCGTGGTATATGCTTGCCGACTAACAAATACATTACTACTCTCGCATTCCTCGTTCTATTTCCATTTGTGATTGAGTTAACGGAAGTCTAAATCAAATACTATCTACATTTATAGACTGTAATCGGAATATATCACATCCTACGTTGGACTATATCGCTAGAGAGTTCGCCAACCTGCTCAGAGTCATCAAGCATTTATAATTGTGGATTTACATTACTGGACCTAATCAGAACACGCAACGTTTGGGCAATTTAAGTAACGTCCCTAATTTTTATTGTATTTGTAACAATTAACTGTGTATATATTAATATTACTATTTATCTTTAGTAACTTTGTTTATACTTTTTGCGTTCATATTTGTCTGGTCCACCACAATTATTTGGTGAGCCTCGGTTTTTTTTTATAGACATTTACTATATATATCTACATATTATTATTATTATTACTTCGCACGACACCATTTTTGTTTGTTTATGTCATTATGAACTCTCCGGGTAAACTTATCGATATAGATAGTTCACCGACCAACCTTCTAAACTCTCCACAACCAGAGGATAATGCTTTGAACTCGATCAACGCTATCTCAGAGTTAAGATTACCAACGTACTGTATTAATAATCCCAGAGTCTGGTTTGCTCAAATTGAAGCTTTATTCATGGCTAGAGGCATAAGATCCCAGGCATCAAAGTATGCATACGTAGTCGGCGCACTTCCTATCGAGATTGCCGCTGAAGTTGGTGATTTAATCGATCACGTGCCAGAATCTGAACCATATGATAAGATAAAAGCAGCAGTTATTCAACGCACCACGGTCTCAGATGAGAAAAGGCTACAACAGTTGTTAACATCTTGTGACTTGGGTGATAAAAGACCCTCGCAACTTCTCCGCCACATGAAACAACTCGCCGGTCCATACAAGCTAGACGAAGCCCTCCTAAAGCAAATGTGGTTTCAAAGATTACCACACAGCGTTCGACAAATTCTCAGTGTTTCAGGGAAATCCGTCGCACTTGATGACTTAGCCGACATGGCAGATAAAATGATGGAAGTATACCACGACAATCACTGTGTGAACTCATTGCAACCACCTGGATCAACAGATATTAGCTGTTTAGCCTCCTTTCAAAAGCAGTTAACACAATTAACGAGCCAGCTGGCGTCACTTCAATCGACCATAGCAACCATCCAAACTAGACAATCGAGATCCCCCTCCAGACGAAGATCTTTTTCTAGACAACGGTCTCGGTCACCGAAGCGAACATCTGATGTTTGTTGGTACCACCAAAAATACGGCACCAAAGCACGGCGTTGTACACGACCGTGCACATTTTCTGCGTCTGACACAGAAAATCAGGGAAACGACCCGGCCAGACAGTGATGGCGGCGCCTGTTTCTGGCCACTACCCGAGCCGTCTATTTCATGTCAGGGATCGAATTTCGGGCTCAGATTTTTTGGTCGATACAGGAGCCGAAATCAGCATTATCCCATTACACCTCTCTCAACGACGGCACCCTCAGAGTACTAAATTGTCTCTAGTCGCAGCCAATAACACAGTCATTAAAACTTATGGCGAACAATCACTTATTTTAGATCTCGGTCTCCGGAGACGTTTCACATGGGTTTTCATCGTAGCTGAAATCAAACAACCCATTATCGGGGCCGATTTTCTCGGTGCTTACAACCTACTTGTAGATATGGCAAAAAAGAAACTAATCGACAAAAACACAAGCTTACAGGTCAGTGGCACAACTCTCTCCAGTTACGAAATTCATGGAGTCCGAATGTTAAGACCTGAAAACAAAATTTTCACCGATATCCTGTCGAAGTATGAAAGTATAACCAGAGCTGATTACCAAAACGAATGCTCCACACATCATGTCCAACACAGTATTACTACTACAGGACCACCTATTCGCGCCAGGGCGAGAAGACTCCATCCAAACAAGTTGCAGTTCGCTAAGAGAGAATTCGAACATATGATGCAACTTGGGATAATCAGACAATCTAACAGTCCTTGGGCCTCGCCGCTGCATATGGTTCCCAAGAAAGATCAAGACTGGCGCCCATGTGGAGATTATCGCCGATTGAATAACCAGACTATCCCAGACCGGTATCCGATCCCTCACCTGCATGATTTTTCTTTAAATCTACATGGAAAGCAGATTTTTTCAAAGTTAGATCTAGTCCGAGCATACCACCAAATACCGATGGCACCTGAGGATATCGAGAAAACAGCTGTAATCACACCTTTTGGCTTGTTTGAATTCTTGAGGATGCCTTTCGGACTAAAAAACGCCGCTCAAACCTTCCAGAGATTTATGGACGAAGTAACTAGAGGTCTGGATTTCGTATTTGTCTATATCGACGATGTTTTAATCGCTAGTTCTTCCATTGACGAACATGTTCAACACCTACACACGCTTTTTGAACGTTTCAAAAGTTATGGTGTTGTAATCAACCCTTCGAAGTGTATATTTGGCGCCTCATCTCTGGAATTCCTGGGACACCACATTGATTCCCAAGGAATTAAACCGCTTGAAGAGAAAGTCAAAGCCATCTCCAGCTATCCAGAACCAACCTCAGTAAAATCACTACGCCGTTTTCTTGGAACATGTAATTTTTATCGACGATTTCTACCAAATTGTGCCGACGTACTACAGCCATTGACAGATTTACTGAAAAACGATAAATCAAGTACCAAGAAAGAAAAGAACCAAATATTCAAGTTACCTTCCGATGCCAAAGTAGCATTTGAAAAAGCTAAATCCATGATTGCTAATGCTACCATGCTCCAACACCTAAATACTGACCCCACAACACTGTTGATCCTGTGCACGGATGCTTCACAAAAAGCCGTCGGGGCAGTATTACAACAGCGGGTAAACAACAAGATTACCCCCATTGCCTTTTTCTCCAAGAGATTATCGCCAGCACAAGAACGTTATAGCACCTTCGGACGCGAACTTCTAGCTATGTACTTAGCTGTAAAACACTTCAACTTCCTCCTTCAGGGACGCGATTTCACCATTATGACTGATCATAAACCACTTTGCTATTCTTTCAATACGACCTACGACAAACATTCTCCACGGGAAGCACGACAACTGGATTACATCTCCCAGTTTACGACAGATATCCAATTTGTCAAAGGAAATACCAACGTCGTAGCTGACGCATTGTCACGTAAGGACGTAAATACCTTGTTACGTAAACAAGACATCGATCTAGAAACCATCGCAAAACTACAAGTAGACGATGCAGATTTGAAGGTCTGCCAGGAGAAGTCTAACTTGAACCTTAAACCAGTACCCATCCCTTTCTCAAATACATCTATCATTTGCGATGTTTCAACGGGTAACAATCGCCCTTTCGTACCACTAGCATGTCGTCGACAGGTATTTCGTCAACTGCATGACCTTTCTCACCCAGGAATCAGAGCCACAATCAAATTGGTTACTGAGCGTTTTGTGTGGCCAAAAATCAATTCAGATATAAAACGATGGACGCGAAGCTGCCTACAATGTCAACGCAGCAAGATTCAGAACCACACGATCAGTCCAGTTGGCAAGTATCCCCTGCCGGAAAAACGTTTTCAGCATATCCACTTAGACATAGTTGGTCCATTGCCACCATCTAATTCATTCACGCACATTCTCACTGCGGTGGACAGGTTCACAAGATGGGCCATAGCATGCCCTATTGCTGATACTTCTGCAGAAACAGTAGCCGGCGTATTCCTTGACCGTTGGATAGCGAATTACGGAGTACCTTCTATCGTCACTACCGACCGTGGTCCCCAGTTTCAGTCTATCTTATTTCAGGAATTCACAAGACTTCTGGGCGTGAACCACATCAAAACAACAGCCTACCACCCAGCAGCTAACGGCTTGGTCGAAAGATTTCACCGCCAATTGAAAAGCTCGCTGATGGCACAAGATGATACGACAAAATGGAGTGACGCATTACCACTTGTACTCCTGGGTATCCGTTCAACTATAAAGGAAGATATAGGTTGTACAGCCGCTGAGCTAGTTTACGGTACAACCCTTACATTACCAGGTCAACTAGTGGACCCAAACACTTTAACACCAACGGACCCAAGTCGTTTTGCTAGCCAACTGCTGCAAACCATGCAACGAATCAAAGCCATACCGCCTCGCGAACATAACAATCGAATACAACTCAACAGAAATCTAGAAACATGCAAATTTGTCTTTGTTCGAGTTGATGCTGTTAAAAAGCCATTGAAACAACCATATGAAGGACCATATCAAGTAATTAAAAGAACGACCAAACACTTCATAATCAACAAGTGTGGAAAGAAAGAGACTATTGCTATCGATAGAATAAAGCCTGCTTTCTATGAAGCACAGCACGACAAAGAACATACTACTTCACCGAACCAACCCCGTCCAGCAACCACCACTACAGCAGACATGGAAGAAAAACTGAGTATCAAACCTACTTGCTTAACGCGCTCAGGCAGAGCTGTAAAAAAACCCAAACGCTATGTACATTTCGCCGAATAAGAAAAAAATCTAAACAAACAATTACTGATGTACTATACCATTATACTCACCCGATTTTTCCCAACAAAATCTATGATTTTTTTTACAGTGTACATAGTTAACCATATTTTTTTCCCCACAATTATTCGTTTTGTCACATTTTTTTTATAAAAAAAAATTTTGTTACAATAATAAACGAGTAAACTCTATTTAATTATTCATTTGTTGTACACACACACACAAAAGCAGTTCATTTTTTTTGGGTTCAGTAACAGTTCTGTACATTATTATCATTGTTAGCAAACCAAGATTTTAAATGACGGTATTCTCATTACTTTTGTTTGTCATGCTATGCCACATCACCGCTATTTTCACGCAATAACACACTGTATATTATTAACGTACATGCCATACGCATCTCCACATTGTTAATCGGTTATTATTGTAAATATTATTATTTTTTTTTTGTATAAAATTTTTCTTATTGTTATTGTAACCAGTGTTACCTCCGGACACTCTGGGGGGAGCTATGTGGAGATAGACCTGACAAGCTTATTTTGTAAATAGTTTTTAATATTATTTGTATTTATTTTGTCAATTTCCCACTGCATGTACATTTATCATTAAATGATTGTACCCGTTGTTTAAGTCATTGACCTTGAAGACACTTTCCGTTGAGCTACTACATAGCGTGGTATATGCTTGCCGACTAACAAATACATTACTACTCTCGCATTCCTCGTTCTATTTCCATTTGTGATTGAGTTAACGGAAGTCTAAATCAAATACTATCTACATTTATAGACTGTAATCGGAATATATCACATCCTACGTTGGACTATATCGCTAGAGAGTTCGCCAACCTGCTCAGAGTCATCAAGCATTTATAATTGTGGATTTACATTACTGGACCTAATCAGAACACGCAACGTTTGGGCAATTTAAGTAACGTCCCTAATTTTTATTGTATTTGTAACAATTAACTGTGTATATATTAATATTACTATTTATCTTTAGTAACTTTGTTTATACTTTTTGCGTTCATATTTGTCTGGTCCACCACAGTTTCTTAGTATCAGACCAAAGCCGAACACGCATCAATTTGGTGAACTTAAGTAAAGTCCCAACTTTCTATTGTATTTGTAATAATTAACTTATATATATTAACATTTCTATTGATCTTTATTAACTTTGTTGATACTTTTTGCATTTATATATCGTCTGTTCCACCACACCTGTGCTCTTCGGGTAGTTCGAATGGTTACGAAAAAAAGTAGGCGAAGCTTTCCACAGTTGAAGTCATGAGTCAATTGAAGCTAGACCACCATGGAAAACCTGCAAGCACTGAACAGCCGTTTTGTATTAGTATGAGACTCCCCAGCAGTGCGCATCCACGATCTCGCCCCCTACGAGAAGCTTACGTTTAACATGCTTTCGCCGCATTGTATTTAAGGATTCTTGGTTCTTTCTTTGTGTATGTTGGAACCTACTAGTGCAAAGGCTACTGCTACACTAGATGCTTCACAGAAGAAACAGAGAGGAGGAGAGTAAGCGGCATTGTCTGGCTCAAGCCCTTAGTTAAAATGTGTCTGTCAGCTGTCCTCCAAGCACGGCTTTGCAGTGTAGCCCACCGTATGAATTCCGCATGATGTTGACGATTTTCTCAGCTACACACTACGTAGTGACAATCAGGGTTCCATAAGGTTTTCCTATCCACATTGTCAAACACCGTCTCATAGTCAAGGAAATTGATGTGTAGTGACGAGTTCCATTCGGTTGATTATTCAACAACAATCCGTAGTGTTGCGATCTGGTCTTTGCTCGACCAATCCTCACGGAATCCGGTTTGTTGACCTCGAAGTCGGGCGTCTACTGAGCCTGTCATCCAGTTCATCAACACTTTATTGAAAACGTTTCCTGGCACTGGCAGTAGTGTGATTCCTCTGTAGTTCTCATATTTGCTCTGATCTCCTATCTTTGCTATCTTGATGAAGTGTCGTTCTTCCCAGTTTTCCTGCACTTGTCCTTTCTCACAAATCTTTCTGAAAAGAATGTGAGGCAAACTTGCAGTTCCATGTCTGACCTCAGAACTGCAGCTGGTATATTGTCAGGCTCTACTGCTTTCCCACTCCTGAACTACTTGATTACCAACCTTATCTCTCCAATCGTTGGTAGAGTGACATATATGCAAATGTCCGTGGGTACTGCTTCCATGTCCGGCGAGTTTAGTGGGGCTGGCATGTTCAGAAGTTTCACAAAGTGTTTTATCCATCTTTTCGTCCGCTCTTGAATCTCAGTGATCAGCCTGTATTTTTTGTCCTTGATTGGTTTCGGTGGTTTACCACATTGCCTTGACAGTTTCCTCATCGTTCCATGTGTTTGTTTCATGGTTTTTTTTCTCGTACCTTCTTCCGTTGTCGATGCTAGGTCTTCCACATATTTCTGCTTGTCAACTCTGATGCTCCTCTTCACTTGCTTGTTTGCATCTGTGTATTCAGGTTGTGCCTTGGCTTTTTTTGTTTGGCTGTTGTTAATTGCTGTCTCCTTACTCCTCCTTTTTTAAATCTTGCTCAGTGTTTCGATAGAAATCCATTCCTTATGATGATGCTTCTTGTGGCCTAGCACCCCTCGATATGTTGAATTTAGTGCTTTTTTGATTCCTTTCCAGTCATCCTCCATAATAACTTACTCATCCTTTAGTAGCTCTTGAAGGGCTTGTAACCTATTGTTGAGAGTTATCTTGAATTCAGTGAGTTTGTCAGTATCTTGAGGGAAGGCCTGACCTTTGTAATGCTGTTTTTTGAGTGCTTCTTTAGCTTCAGTATCGTCCTAGCAACTACCAGGTGGTGATCTGAAGCCATGCCAGCTCTCCTCCTTGTTCTCACGTCTTCCTTGGCATCGACCACGTGACTTCCGAAAAATCGCGGCTTTCGCCATGATGTATCACAATTCTCCTGAAAGAAGATCCTTTGACTCTGAGAGCAGAGTATGAACGGTTTGAATTGTCTATCCTGCTTAGTGTTTTTTGACAAGTTTGTTTCTTACGGGGTAGGGTTACGGACAACATGCCCAACCCTCCTCCTCTGTGTGGGCTTGAGACCGGTGGTAACCCTAGATCTACAGGCTGCGTTTAAAAAGTTCGGCAGTGGCTTAAAAAAATTGAAACTACAATTAGATATATATAGCAACCGTTTCACCTAGAATCAAAAGCTCAATGGAGTTTGCTGCTCAGGGATTGATAAGAGCAACTTTACATTGGAAGCAAAGTTATAAGTTATGCTACGAAACTGTGTATGTTAAGGGCTTTTAACACCTAATCACTTAGAACATTCGGAAAGAATTTTACTTTGATATTCAGTGTTTATTGTTTGGTGATTATACAACTGATTGTCATTGTTCCACTTATGTTTTAAGTCACATGAACAACACGATCTACCGTGAGTACAGTTTTTTATAACGCCCCTCACGTTCGGCATGGCTGGATGAATAAAATGTTCAAAAGCTCTGATATTTCCATTCAACCACAGGACGATTACAGCGAAAGATTCAATAGCTATAGTCGTTGGTGTCATTTTCACCATATTTATGTGTTCGCTGATGAATTTTCGTCACACATGTGATTTGCTAGTAAGGGTGTGACTTTTGTTCAATTCATATTCAGAAAC